AGAAGTGAAACAGTTATGAATCATCTGTCATTTGCAACAGATCAGGATGCAATTTGCAATAAAACAAAAAGGTATTCTCTAAATCTATTAAGGAACAGTTCAAATCCAACAATTATTGGACAAGTTACCATCAAGGATACTAAGCCTAACCATAGTGGGATTTGTGGTGACCAAGACAATGTACACATTGTAAAAATAGAGATAATATTCTTAGTAATATTCAGGGGATTTAGCCTATGTCCAGAGCAAGATTATGTATTGATTAGATCTACAATTAATGCTTCATATTACGGAGCATCCAGAAATGTGTTTCAGTTATTAATATTTCCAAATACTTTGGGCAGAGGTAACAGGTAACAGATAATCAGAGTTGGAAGGGACCTTGTAAGTCTATCTAGTCCAACCCTCTGCCCAAGCAGGAGATCTTACAACATTTCTGACAGATGGGAGTCCAATCTCTTCTTGAAAGTCTCAAGTGATGGCACTCCCACAACTTCCGAGGGCAAGCTGTTCCATTGGTTGATTGTTCTCACTTCAGAAAGTTTCTCCTTGTTTCCAGGTTAAATCTTTCCTTGTTCAGTTTCCATCCTTCATTCCTTGTCTGGCCTTTGGGTGCTTTAGAAAATAGCTTGACCCCTTCCTCCCTGTGGCAGCCCCTCAAATATTGGAAGACTGCTATCATGTCTTCCCTGGTCCTTCTCTTCACTAGACTAGCCATGCCCAGTTCCTGCCTAATTAAAAAGGAATGTAAACATGCTTGTGGATAGCTTAAACACTGCTAAAACGTTCTGAAAGCAAGATATCCATATGATACCACCAAGATCTGTTAGCAAACATATTTAATGCCCCCTCCAGCTATCATGTCAGGTTTGCCAAAAAATAAACAGAGCCTGGGAGAACAGAATTGGTAGTAAAAGGACTCCCAGTTACAAAGGAATCCTCTGAGAATTACAAAATACTGAAACAAGGTTTTATTCATTTTTGTAATCTTTGGAGTGCTAGAATGATAGCATCTCATTACAGTTGCTTGATTTGTGGCTATTACATCTTAATCTAAACAATCACATGCATACAATATTGTTAATATAGAGCTAGCTAGACCTTGAGTTATGAACACAATTGAACCCAAATTTTCTGTTGCTAAGCAAGGTAGTTGTTAAATGAGTTTTGCCTCATTTTACGATCTTTCTTGCCGTGGTTGATAAGTGAATTGTGCAGTCATTACAGTGAATCTGGCTTCCCCCATTGATTTTGCTTGTCAGAAGCAAGCTGGGAAGATCACAAATGATCACATGATCCTGGGACAGTGCAATTTTTTGAAAATACATGCCAGTTCCAAGTGTCTGAATATGTGATGGTGTGACCATGGGGATGCTGCAATGGTTGTAAGTGTGAAAACTGGTCCTAAGTCTTTTTTTTTTTTTTTTGCAGTGATATTGTAAGTTTGGTTACTAAACAAACCATTGTAAGTCAAGGATTATGTGTATTGGATAAAGTTCGCTCAAATGATCTATATAGTCTTCTGAAATGGATCTGTTCATACCTGAGGATGGCAGAGAGCAAATGTCTTGCTGTGAATGATGCTACACTGCCTCTGTGCCCAGGAACTCCTATAGGGATTTGCAGTACAAGGATCTCTGCTACCTGAGGCATCTGGACAAGTAGGAGAAACTTTCCAGCTGTTACCGAACTCCAGGACATCTCCTATTACAGACTGGCTCCTGGTGGTGAAATCATTGATGTCATTGCCATCATAGTTTCCACAAAGGCCACAGACTTCACCCTGCATAAAGAAAAGTACAAATTGAAACGGAGCTTTGGTTCTGTTGTGGTTAGCCAGTGGCAGGTGTGTATGGCCGAGGAGAGCGAGGATTCAGGTGAGGGGCCAGGACCATTAGGGAGTGGACTGCTGCCTTCAGAGATTGTGTGGGCTGGCAGCAGCGATGAGGAGGTTCCTGATGAGCCTGCCGAGTGCGCATGCACGCAGGGCTGCTTGCAGGAAAGAGCAGCTGCAGCAGCACGGGCGACTCGGGAGTAAGGCTGCAAGGTAATGGCCCCTCCTTCAAGATGATAAAAGCCAGCTGAGAATCAGACATTCTTTGCAGGAGGCAAAGATGTTTTGAAACTCGAGCCTCGTGAACATTGCAGGATCTTAGTTGGTATTTGAAGACTCTTGTGTTGTAAAATATTTCTAGGTAACCTTATCTGTTATTCTTGGCAGCCTTGCACAGTTTTGGCGAGGCTCGTGCTTATCAGAGTTATTTAGTTTGAAACAGCCTTTAACCGAGGATTCGTAAGAATCATTAAAAGGTTTCTGTTCCCTTTGGTTTGTGTTTGTTTTATTGGAAAACGGTTTGGGTCAGAACAGGTTCTATCTTTAGAGATTGAACCATTTTAATGTTGAAGAATATGTATTGCTCAGAGACCTTTAAGTATATTTCTCACGCATAGTTTGAACTCATGTACTCAAAGCTGCATATGTTAAAGACAAACCCAAGTCAATGCTGTGGCTTGCTGGCAGCCTGTGCAGACACCAGCAAAATCAGACAGCGGGGAAGAACAGGGACCAGTCTGGGAGTCTGGGGAGGACTCAGAGGAGGGTCCTGTGTCCAATACAGAGATGGGGCCAGGAACATGTGCTGACTTGGAGCTTCCAGAATCTGGCAGCAGTGAGGCAGAGGAACAAGGGGAGCCTGTTCTCAGTGTACGCGTGTGCAGAGCTGCCAGAAGGCAAGAACAGCTAAGACAAAGGGGGTGACTAGGGAGTAAGGCTTGGAGGTGATTACTCTTCCCATAAGGTATAAAGGAAGTGCAAAGGTAGGAAAACCTTTGCAGGAGGCTCTGATCAGTTCACTCTGATCAGTTTGGACTCTGAAAATGCCATGGTGAATTTGTTCTCTGTTTGGTTTTGTAAAGACTAATTGGGACTTTAGTCGTTGGCAGCACTTCAAGTAAGATAAGGTGCGTTCTTATCAGATGTCTCCCGAAGAACTTTGGCAGACGTCCTTGGGATTATTTATAACCTGTTAAGACTCATTCCGGGCTGTGTGAATGACAATAATTCACAGCCATTGAACTAAAATAAAAGGGTTTTGGATTTTATGTGTGTTTGTTGGTGTCTCAGAAAGCCTTGGTCAAAACAGTCGAGGAATGCTTAATGTGGCTTCACAAAACAATAAAGCATCTATGAAACCAATACATTTTTCATTACACTGAAACAGCCTTACGTCTCATAGCAATGAAATAGACATGCCTATCTCTCCCTAACCCCAATTTATTCCAAAATTAGTTTTAAGAACTGGGTTTTTTTTCTTCAAAAAGCATAACATGGCTGTCCCTCTGAGAATGTATTTCCTCAAAAGCTGTTTGAGTTACTCAAACTATTAAATAACCTATTGCTATGTATTTTACTCTATGATAATTATCATATGAAATGTACAGTTCTTTTCAGTGGGATAAGACATTGCTTCAAATAAAAGAAATCCAAACATATGAAATTACGTTTTCTACAACATTGTGTGTGCATATGCTTGTGTACCATACACTGAATAGCCCAGCTTTGAAAAGTTATCCTTGAATGGAGTACGTATCCCTAACAGAATTGAAAAGGTTATGTTTCACAGAATGAGCAAGTGGATCTTCCTCAGGCAAAAGGTTTCGTGATGTTGAACTTGTCCTGAGATTGCACACAGAGCTATGATTAACATTAATAATTAAGTTTAATTGATACAAGCCAACTTCAGCAACCCAGATTTTCAAACACTACTTTAAATAGATGCCTCCAACTCTTGGTCATGATAACTGGGAGATTTTGTGAGTTCTCATCCCAACTTATTTGGAAAGGAGGTTGTGCAAAACTGGTTTAAAATTAATCAGATCATGATGTCAATCATAGTTTGTCTGCTAATGTGATGTCATTGTAAGTATTGGTCCAAAACTAGAGATGCTGAAGTTCATTCCTACATTCAGCGAGCATTCATAGATGCTCACTGAGTAGCAATTTTATTTTCTGCTCATCCAATCTCAGGATAATCACTGGGGAAAAAAGGCAAGGAGCAAGTACTCTGTATTCTGCCTTGGTCTTCTGGAAACAGAAATGAAAGCTTTTGCATTTCTTTCAATCATATGGAACTTAATTCCCCAAGCTTGGCAATTTTCAGGTCTATAGACTTCAGATCCCAGAATTCCATAGTAGTTTGGCTATTAATGGGAATTCTGGGAGTTGAAGTTCACTTACCTGGAAGCTGCCAAAGTTGTGAAAGTTGTGAATTAGGGAAGGAAGTATGTGAGGTCTATGCTTGTTAGTATTTCATTGAACTATATTTCATTGAACCATAATTCAGTGTGATTTCCAAGCATTGCTTTTGTTATATGTTGATAATCAGTTCAAGTGATAAACATACATATCTATTCAATTATTCACAGAATTCATCAGGAATGATTATAATTTCCATATAAATATGTTAAATGGGGTCAGTCCACCCGAATAAAATATTTACAGTATTTCTGAAATGCAAATGCTATAGCCAATCATCTGTGTTCTTATAATGCAAATGAAAATGCAGCTAAGAATGTTAGCTATTACAAGGTCAACAGAGAATTGTCATTCATAATGACCATGTTTATTGCTCTGCATAATATAATGTGAGAACATTGTCTTGCCCTTTGCGTTTTACATGACAATTTTTTCACTGTTATCAATGGTTCTAGCAACCAAAATAATACTAAAGTGACTGTAAAGAGGAACTCTTAAACATTGTTCTTCATTGATTGCATCATTATATTATGAATATATCATTTATTCTCTAAACATTTTTCAGTGAAATTCTTCAGAAATGAATAGTTTCTAATTCAGTTTCTATTTTGCATTCACACCTTACCTTAAAGTGTGCTTCGAGTTTAATGAACACACTGGTTTTTTTATCCCATATCAGGATCACGCTTCCGTTAAAAATTTCAATCACCATGTAGATGCCCATGTATCGAATCTTGAACGGCACTTTGTCTCCACCAGGAAGTCTTTGTATCACCTCAAATTTTCCATCTGTAAGTAGTAACTCATACTTCTAAAAGATAAAATACAAGCAACATAAATACTTGTACCTATATCAATGGAGAGTCAGTTTGGTGCTGTGATTAAGGCATCAGACTAGAAAACAGGAGACCATGAAATCTAGTCCTATCCCAGGTATGAAGACAGTTGGCTGACCTTGGGCAAATCACTTTCTCTCCTCCCTAGAATATATGAAAGGGCAAACTACTTCTTAAAACTTGCCAAGAAAACTGCAGGTATTTTTCCAGGCAGTCACCAGGACTCAAACACACACACACAGGGAGAGGGAGGGAGGGAGGGAGGGAGGGAGAGAGAGAGAGAGAGAGAGAGAGAGAGAGAGAGAGAGAGAAACCACCTACATCACAAAAAACACCTATCAGTGCTGCTATTTCTAATAATTTCAGCTGGAGATTTCCATTATTGGCAAGTTCTGCATTGGCTGATGGATATTTTTGCAAATCTTACCATATACTATTTCAAGATTTCCACTTATTATATAAAGATTTCATATTACATGTTTTGTTGCTTTGTCTGTAGTACATGTTTTGATCATAATGCAGGTCATAATGTTTTTACTTTCTACTAAGTTACTTACCCCAGCGAACACCTTAATGGCTTTTGAGCAGGTAGTCCCTGTAGAACCGCAGGGGATATTCTCTGTGATCACCCGGAAAGTTTCTACATTTGTCTTATTTTTACTACACTGATTCTGCAGAAAAGAATGTGGCATTAAGTTTTTATGAACACAAATATGGAGATTCAAGGCTAAAAAAAATTATAACTTTATGATAGTAGAAATTGATTGAGAAAAAGTTTAATACCTGGACCAGTGTGTATTCACACAATCCATTGAAGGAGTATCGTTTGTCGTCAAAGGTGATATAATGACCATCTCCATAAACTGAACAAGTTTCCAGGCAAGGTTTATTAGAGCATATCCACTTTCGGTTTTTGCATGTGCTAGGTAGCCAAACACATGCTAGATATTAATAGGTGTGCATTGATGCAATATAGATGCAATCAGTTTTATATCATCCATCAATTTATACATACCAAGTGTTACATTTATCTTTGATAGTTTCTCCTGGTTTGTATGTGGCTTCATTGTGAACACATGGACATTCTTCTGCAGGTATACATTTGCCTGTACCATCAGAGACTAGCTGATCAGGACATACACAACCAGAGACACACTGTGCGCTATACTGCAATAACAGGGGATTAACAAAAAGTGTTACCTGACAAAACTGTATGGTAAGAAGTAACACTTCTAAGATATTGTACAAAGGAAACGTGATTTCAAATTAGCACCAGTTTTTCCTACTGATTTTAATGTGTATACTGGTGTTTCAATCTCCCTTTCCTCCAGGAATTTTGATATAGCAATCGCAATAGTACTCAAATTTATATGAAACTTCACAGTGCTTTACAGCCTTCTTTAAGCACTTTACAGAGTCAGCATTTTGCCCCCAACAATCTGGATCCTCATTTTACCAAATTCAGAAGGATGGAAGGCTGAGTCAACCTTGAACCTGGTGAGATTCAAACTGCCAAATTTCAGGCAGCCGGCAGTCAGCAGACGTAGCCTGCAGTACTGCATTCTAATCACTGCGCCACCATGTCTCTTCACAAATATGAAGAAGGCTCCTTTTTTATTTTTATGCATCTCTGGACAGCAACTTGGCATAAACTTAATAACCATAATAGAATCAAAGATCAAACTATGCAGAATCATGACTAAACCATTTTTGTTAAGCAGGTTTACAGTATCCTAAGTGTTTGTTCTCCTTTCTCCCAGAAACATCTTCATTAACCATAATCTCTTGTGACCTATCAGACTGATTTCTATTTGGCAATATCTCCCTCAAGTGATAGGAAGATAGTGTGCCAGGTTGTGCTGGCAGTTCCAGAGACAGAAAGACTATTTTAATTACAGTCAATTACCTGCTGGCAGAAATACATTCAACTCAACTGATGATAATTTCAGTTATTAATATGCTGTTTTATTTAGTAAATTTCTCTTCTGCATTTTCACCAAGAAAACAATCCCATCACAAGCTGAAAAAGCTATTAACATCAGACCCCACTTATAACTAGCTATACTTACACATCCCATATCAAGTGTCTGGCAGCTCTTCTGACACTCAGCCCCATGAGTGTTAGCTGTGGAATTATTACAATCGAAGTAGACCATAGGAGCAACACAATCTGGTAGAAAGGAAAAAATGATTCTGTCTGAGATTTTATCTCAGTAATTACACAATTTATATTATGTTGGAAAGTTGGAAAATGCCTCTTCATAATCATAAAATTAATGTAAAGTAATTGATCAAGTTTTCAATTTGCTTGTGAAGTACACAAATTAAATCCACATGAATATTTGTACTTCAGTTTTACAAACAGTGGTTGGATTGTGGTCCTTCAATGGCTGCCCTCATTCCCTTGCAACTTTCTCAGTCCCCCAATTCTGGTTTGGAAGATTGAGGACATCCTACAACAGAATTCTGCATGTTGCAGAGAAATGAGAAATCAGCAAAAATCAGTTGCACATTTCTCAGCTGCCAGAGTATTTTGAGCCAACAACTTTACTCAAGGAATCCCCCTCTTGTGGGAGCTGTATTGGAATGAATTCAGGATTTCTTTCTAGATTAGCCAATCAGGTGTTCAGTTTCTACAAAACTTGCATTTAATGATGCTATTGCCAGATTGGAGGAGGGGGTGCTATTATGACAAATTAAACAGCAAACTTGTTCATAAAGTACTGCACTTAAATTTTATGTTTGCTTTAGGCATAGATTTTCCTTGCTGGATCTGAACAAGGCTGGATATGAACAAATCATAATAAAACAGGGAATAAAATGGTGGCTGTACCTGTTTGTGGTTTCACTACCCCAATGCACTGAAGCTTGCCTTGCACACAGGTACTGTAAGAGAGTAAGACAGCTATTAGATTGAAATAAATGTAATAAACTTACAGTCCTGATTTATTACACTTTAAATTGTAAGTAGTTTCTTTATTGACAAGTGGGGGGGAGAAGGAGAAGGAGAAGAAGAAGGAAATAATCTTTCAGAATATGTTGAAATACTGAAAGGGATTTGTTTTTGATGTCTTTGTTAGAAATCAGAAGATCTGTTACTTAGACTTCTTTCCAGGGTGGTATGCTACTGGTTCGGCCTGGTTCAACCGAACCAGTAGTAAAAATCACGACCGGTTCCGAACCGGTAGGAAAAAAAAGCCTCCAATCAGCTGAGAGGAGGAAAAAAAAGCTTCTGACAATCAGCTGAGAAGACAAAAGACCCAAAAGCGCATGGGAGGGTAGGAGGGTCACTCCTAGCTTTTCATTTCTTCATCCTCTCAGCTGATTGGCTTGTTAGGTGCGTACATGCATGCACACATGATCACCCACTGTACCGGTAGCGACTAGGGTAGCACCCACTACTGGTCCTTTCCTATGGATATTTGAAGCACTTCTATCAGAAATGGGTGGGCCACAAATTCATACAGGTCAACTGTATTATTGTTAACTTCCCTGACTTTTACCACCTTACTTTTGACCTAGCATAATTCAAACAATAAAAAAGTGAATCCTTTACTGATTAAGCCCAGTTCTATTTTTTTGCTAGCCTCTTTTCAAAAATAATAAGTTTTCATTCTTCTGTCTCCCAAAAGGCTTGGGTTTTCAAATCAGACAGATTTGATCATTTAGAACTATCTTTTAATGCCCAAATGTGGGGAAAAAAATGAAAATACTACAAGATATTACAAAATGAATCAACAGGTACTTCCATTCCATCTTTAAAAACTCAGCTCAGTGTAAGAAGTACAATAAAATAACAGCAGTACACTAGATTTGAAGTTTTATTTATTCTAGTAAATGAAGTGACTTTGCAAAAGCATTTGTGGTCCTGAACTGTCAGCTCACAAGCAAGGTTGCTTTCCCCTATAGTTTTGTTCCATGGCTTTCTGCTACTTCTCTCTTTCTACCATTATGTTTATTTCAAGTCTCTCACCACATGATGCCATTGTCATGAACCACCTGTCCAGATGGAATGGCAGATCCTTTGTGGTAACAAGGGCACTTAGAAGCAGGCACGCATTTGCCACTGTCATCGAGGTATGTCCCTTCTTCACAGGTGCATCCATCTACTGGAGGGAACTTGATTTTGCAGGTGACATCAACCTCACTGAGAGCTCTGCAGGTGGCTTGACAGGTCCCAATGTTGTAATGATAGCTCCAGGTTTCAGGACAAATTTGGAATTTGGCTTGAGAAGAGAAAAAGGAAAAATAATTGATTTATTAGCAATTATGACTAGAAATTCCTACACACAACAAGTTGCAATGGCTCTTTCTCTGTCTCTCTGCCTCTGCTGCTGTCTTTGCCTCTGCCCCTCTCTCAGAAAAGGTGATGGGGGGACTCTCCAAATATCTGCTTCTCCAAATATCTCCAAACATCAAAACATGTTCTGCAAGCCCCCAAAATAAAGCTCATAAAAGAAAAGTTCCCGACCAGTGAAGATGGCCATTGTCATATACAGTAATTGTTGAAAGAACTGCACTAGTCCAATTAAAATACTGGGCATCAACCTATAAAGCCTAAAGAAACTGAGAACAGGATGCTGAATGCAAAAGGCTGGTGGGCATGTAAACCACTAGATGCCTTGGAAGGAGAGAGCAAATTTCAGCTGTTGAAAAGCAATAGGAGTCCAGTAAAAGTTCGGTAATAGTAATAATAATAATAATGATAATAATGATAATAATAATAATAATAATAATAATAATAATAATAATAATGATAATAATAATAAGTGGCTAGAGTTAAAGCAACTCTACCCACAAGATATGAGGCATGAGAAGTTTGCACATGCAAACTTGAGGCATGCAAGGCTTGCACATGCAAACATATTTTAAAATAAACGTAATAAAAGTTTTATTCATGCTAATTTTGAAGTTATTTTTTTTAAGTCTACTCATTTTCTAACATATATATTTTTTCCTCTTCTCTGAAAAATAAGACAGCTTCCAATGGTCTGGGACCCTTCAGGAGCATTTTAATTGTGTTAAAAGCAAGTAGGGACAGTAAGAATAACAGTTGGAAGCGACGTTGGTGGTCTTCTAGAGATCCTGTACCATACCAGACAAATGGCTGCCCAACCTCTCCTTAAAAACCATCAGTGATGAAGCACCCATAACTTCATAAGGGAAGCCATTCCACTGATTAATTGTTCTGTCAGGAAATTTCTCCTTAGTACTAAGTTGGTTCTCTTTTTTGTTTGTTATTCTAAACTTACCACAGACAATAGTCCTCCATCCACTTAGCAATACTCCTTTAGCAGCACAGGCCCTGACATAAGCTGAAAGGGCAGCACACATGCAGTCTTCACTCTTTTCACAGTTACAAGTGTCAAACATGCAGTTCTAGAAAAACAAAGGACCTTTGGATTAACCAAACTTCACCTTCCTTCCGAGATATTTCCCTTTATATCTGGGTTGCAATCCTTGGATCTTTCAGATATCGCTGAATGAAGGTCTCTTCCAACTCTGTTAATCTATATACGTCAGCCAGCCTCTCTTCCTATCGGGCTACTAGAAGGTATAGGCCAGGGCTGTCAAACTCGTGGCCCAGGGGCTGGATGCATCACACGCTGGCCATGCCCATACCCAGTTTAGCAAACGGGAAAAACATCATGAGACATCACGTGACGCTGTCATGACAATGTGAGTTTGACACCCCTGCTGTAGGCAGTAATATCTGAAGAGTCACCACTTCTGTAATTTTGCTTTAGCCTGGCCTTTCAAAAATCATGAGCAACTTGGAGAGATTGCATTGGAAGTCTTTTTTCGGCTTTCATCTAAGCTGTGTGTCATATACTAGTCAGTTGGGTTCTTTCAGTATATAAATATGTAACAGTTTATTAGCTTTCAGGGAGCAAGGTATTGCCATGAATTATGGCATCCTGCAAAGTGAATAGCCATATACTTCAGGTACGATAAATCAGTAAAGTAAACTTAGAGTTCACACTGGAAATGAAGGTCTCCTTCTAAATCCAGCTCATTAAAATTTCTTTCCTTTTACATTTTCTACATTTTTTCGTAAACATTACAAAAAATTTACATTGACTGTTTTATACAACTTGACTTAACATATGAATTTTGTTCACATCTTAATTTAGAATGTGCATTTTTCTAATGTACAGTTTATATTTTAATTGAGTTTTCCTAATATATTTTGCTTGTATACAACTTTCCCCAGTCTCTGTGTACACTTATGCAAATTTAAACCATAAACTATATTACAAGATCTGAAACACAGGAAGGATAATAATGTTTTGAATCACATAATAGTCAAGGAAATGCAAGATATTTAGAACAACTTAAAAATTATTTGACATCTCCAATTAAGACCTAACACCAGAATGGAAATATATATTCCATTTATATATAAGGTAAAGGTAAAGGTTCCCCTCGCACATATGTGCTAGTCATTTTTGGCTCTAGGGGGCAGTGCTAAGCTCCATTACAAAGCCAAAGAGCCAGCACTGTCCGAAGACATCTCCGTGGTCATGTGGCTGGCATGACTAAATGCTGAAGGCGCACGGAACGCTGTTACCTTCTCACCAAAGTGGTCCCTATTTTTCTACTTGCATTTTTACATGCTTTCGAACTGCTAGGTTAGCAGAAGCTGGGACAAGTAATGGGAGCTCACTCCATTACACGATGCTAGGGATTCGAACCGCCAAACTGCCAAGCTTTCTGATTGACAAGCTCAGTGTCTTAGCCACTGTGCCATTTTGTCCCTTTCCATTTATATATACCAATTAATATTTCATACTAACATTTGACTGTTAACTATTGATTAGGTAGAGGTTCTGGTGTGCTATATAAAATGAGAAATATATTGATTGGATTACAAAATGTGAAAAAAAAAGAGTGAAGAGTGAAAAAAAACCAATACATAGAAAGCTCAACAAAAGACCAATTAAAATCTTAAGTGGCTTCTCTGTTTTTGGCAATGCATTTCTTCCCATCTTTAGATTCTTCTTGGCATTTCAATGGAAGAGAAATAACTACTCACAGTATGGTAAATATCTGGGTTTACTACTGAGTGGCATTTCTGAAAAGGTCCCTTTGTGTCAGTCAGCAATCCGCACCAGTGTAAAGCATATTTTTCTGTAAAACAGAGATAAATGGGGTGTCGTTTTTTGTTATGCATCCTCTGTCTACATCAGCAGCAATGATCAATTATATCAAACTGACAAGCACATTAGAGTAATCAAGGCTCCATTCCTTTTTACTAAGTTTCCCATTCACTGCATTAGCACCAACAGGGGTGGGGCTTTGATTTCCCAACCACACTTGCCATTTTGTCATCATAATCTGACACCGTACATGCTGTGGAACATGGTTTTAATTTTAATTCTAAACCCTTAGTAAAACAGTTTTGTGCTGCACAAAAATACAATTTAAACCAGGCAAAACAGCTGCATTCTCTCTACGGGTGGGCTGCTGGGACTTTCAGGAGAGCCCCTAGCTTAGATTCTGTGCAGTTCGGCGAACCCTCAAATCTCGCTTCTTGGCTGGCTCTGCCTACCCACCCAACCAACCCCAGGCCCCACGCGGCCCATTTTGGATGCAGGTAAGTGCAGGGCGTATGTGAAAATTTGGTGAAAAATGAGCCTCCTGAAAGTTCAGGAAGGGCAAAAATGGGCCCGTTTCTGTCTTCCAAAGAGCCTACAGAGCCCGGGGAGGCCATTTTTGCCCTCCTGGAGGCTCGAGGAAAGCCTCTGGAGCCCAGGGAGGGCAAAAACGCCCCCCACCATGATGCAGGAGGCCAACTAGGCCATGTCCACCATGGCCATGCCCACCCAGCAACCGGGTAGAAAACCCATTGCTAATTTTTTTGAAGCCCATCCCTGGTTCTGTCATCTTTGGGTACATTATAGATTTTTTCATTTTCTGCTGACATGTTTTCATGTGACTATACATGTCACTGTTTTTATTTATTTGGGGGGAGGCATTGTAGAGGAAAGTCTACAGTAGTCCCAAATCAGTCTCATTTCCTTTACAAGACTCTTTTCTGAAGAAAATGAGAAGAAATAAAGCATGAATGTTGTTCTAGTCTCCTTGGAGGAAAAGCAGGACATGTAAATGTAGATAATAATGATAATTCTTATTATTGTGCATTGTGAAGATGAACTTTATGTCCTGAGAATTCTAGACACAAGAAAGTTTAACCCCAGAACAGTTGACTATTTCAGTCCATCTGGGTTTTTATATTTTTTAAACACAATGCTAGATGTGTTTCTAGATTTTTTTTAACAGGACTTCTTTTTAAAGATGTTTCTAGGACAGCCATGCTTTCTGTGAATTCTAGAAACAGTAGCAATAGCACTTAGACTTATATGCCACTTTATAGTGCTTTACAGCTCTCTCTAAGTGGTTTGCAGAGTCAACCTCTTGCCCTCAACAATTTGGGCCATCATTTTACCCACCTTGGTAGGATGGAAGGCTGACTCAATGTTGAGCCTGGTGAGGTTGGATATGCCAAATTGCAGGCAGCTGGCTGTCAGCAGAAGTAGCCTGCAGTACTGCACTCTAACCACTGCACCACTGAGGCTCTTCATCTTATTTCAGAGAGAAATAAGTCAGAGAAGAGTGCCCAGGAGAAGAACAGCAAACAAAATATACATACCATTTTCTATACTGAGAGTACAGGGGTTTTCAAATATATTTTTGATGTTGGGGCAGTCTGCCTGTGTTTTCCAGGTATTAGCAAAGGCAGCAGGGGTTCCTTCTGTCACCCCACTGATAGCTTTAAAGTCATCTGTTTGGATGCCATTGAAATTTCCACAGAGGCCTGAAACAAAGATTAAAGACATCAATCCATTATTATTGTAACACTCTGCTTCCGTGTAGTGAGAATGACTCATTGATTCACTTACCACATGTCTGCCCTTTGTGGCTTGGGTCCATGTATATAAACAGCTGCATCGTAGGGATAAATTGTACCACCAGCTGGAATCCAAATTTTGTATCGACCACAGTGAAGAATGAGGTAGGGTTGAAGATGGTGACATTGGCTGTAGAAACAAAACCATACAATGAAATAGTTTTCAAATGAAAGCATACATTTTATTTGCCACCAAGGGGACGAATCTTGCAACTGTTATTGTTGCTGCAGCACAAGCGAAGAGATGTATACATGGGCTTTGCACGATACTGACACAGCTTAGACTTTGCATCTCAATCATTAACTGATACAAATATAACCTAATAACTCTTAGGATTAACATTTCTTATTAACATAATTAGCAATTACTTGTGATCAATAAATTAGTACCTACTTCAAAAGAAAAGTCTAATATTATATCTATATCTATATATTACATATTATAATATTGTATTATATATTATAATGTTATATTATATACTATATTACAATATATAATATTATAATAATATTATATCCAATAGCACTTGGCCAATAAAGAATTCTACTCCACTCCTCTCCACTCCATTTTGGTAACACATTTGTATCTATCTTTTCCTGTTCTAAACTGGACTTTTAACAATATTCAGTTCTTTCTTCCATCATTGTCAAATGATGAGGTATTATTTTATTCATACACCTAGACATTTTGCAGAATTTCAAATAAATTCCAGGGACAAGAGATCAATCCTTAAATTGTGTAAAGTACTAAAACGGGTGGTGTCAAACTCAATTTCATTGAGGGTTGCATCAGAATTGTGTTTGACCTCATGAGTCGGTGGGGGGCATGGCCAGGGTGGGCATGGCCAGCTTGATCTCACTCATCGAGGCTCTGTTTTCGGCCACGATGGCCTCCTGCCGCCCTGCTGTCAGCAAAAACGGAGATCAGGAGGGCCACACAGCCTCCCTGAGCTCTATTTTCATTGGAAAAGGATTGCAGGAGGTCATTGCGGCCCAAAATGGAGCCTGGGAAGACCATGCACAGTCCTCCCAAGCTCCCTTTTCACTGGCAGAGGCACCGCAGACCGGTCCTTCGCTGTTTCCAGGGTGGGCCTGTGGGCCATATCTAAGCACCTCATGGGCCGAATTTGGCCCCCAGGCCTTAAGTTTGACACCTCTATTCTAGAATATAAATAGCAAAGAACTCACATGCTGAGATAGGCAGCTGAGTGAGAATCATATTCACATATACAGCTCCATTAGACTTGATCACAATCACCTGGGTAGTGAAAAATGACAGATTAGAGCAAGCAAACTGAGAAAATATGTCTTTACTGCAGTATTTATTAAGCAAATACATATGTCCAACTCACACACAATGACTCAAAGCAACATACAGCAATACATTAAAACAAGAAACCAATTTCCTTTCCTTCCGTCATACTAGTTTTCATTAACTCTTTTAAGAAATACACTCTTGTTTTTTTTCCTAAGTACATTTTTTTAACACAAGATATCTGTATAAAGAATCTATATCATATTTCATTTGTTGGAATGAAGTTTCTGACAATAACTGGTTGAATGAAGTTAGTGTACCAAAAATAAAAGTGCTGAAATATTTGGAACAGGTTTTATGTAGGATGGGATAAATATTTTTCTGAGATTTTTTCAGAGACTCATGTCCAGAGAATTCCTGTGCCATGGAGAAATTTTGTAAGGCAAATTTGAAGATAGGTACAAAAAGAAATAGAGAAAGTGAGGGCCAAGAGCTAGATTCCAGCAGGAAGATAGCTTAAACTAGGGAATAAGAACAAAAATGTGAGAAAAGGAAAAAAAAACAGGAAAAGAGAATAGAAACAAGGAAAAGAGGAATAGGAAAGTGAAGTGGAGAAATCAATACTGAAGGCAAGAAGTTTGAAGGAAATAAACTTTGGAGCCAGGGTAGTTGGTGAAAAGTGATACTGAAATACTGCATTAAAAGAAAAAACACTCCAGAACCTGGATCCCCTGTAAAAAAAAACAATGAACAGAACATTGTGCAAAGAAAATGAACTTCACGTGTTGTTTGTAATTGGAAAGTCAACATTTTACTCCATATTTCTGGTATAACTTTAACATTAATATCAAGAGCTCAACTGAGAACAAATTTTTGCATGCAAACTAAATCTATTTCTCACTGGATCTGTTGAAAAAAAAAATGTTCCTAAAACTATTGAGGGAGCATGCTTCTCATCCATTCTTGTTCTTCACACTTACTGTCTGTCCTCCATCAGTGCTTATAGCTAATCCTTTCAGGCATGTCTCAGTTTCTGTCATGCCACACTTTTGAATTTCTCCCAGAACAGCAAAGGTATTGCTATCACAGAGCTGGGGGGAAAAAAAGAGTATTAATAGTTTGCATTGTCTGAACCTATCATATCCCTTCTAAACTAGTGACACTTTTAATTTTTTTTAAAGAAAGGTAAAGGGGTCTATGAAAGATTATACTCTGCTAATTGTTGCCAAGTATAGAGGGAAGTGCTTATTCTGTGTCAAGGCCATTGAGCCAGTGCTGTCCGAAGATATTTCTGCAGTCATGTGGCCAACATGACATTACTGAGCACTGTTACCCTCCCAACTAAGTGGTACCTATTTATTAACTGACATTTGCCTATTTTCAAACTGCTAGGTTGGCAGGAGCTGGAGTGAGGTTGGGAACTCGCCCTGTCACATGGCACTCAGGGTCTTGAACATGGGCTGTCAGCTTTCCAGCTAACCAGCCAGTGTCTTAACCACTGAGACACCATGCTGCCTGTCTTTTAAAACAATAAGAATAAAATCACCTGACTATTTTTTTGTAGGTCAGACTTTCCTTCCCACAATTAAAAGAATGAAGTACTTTAAAAGTTGCAATTTATGTTTTTTTCCCTCTCCTTTGAACAAAACATCACAATTTAACAAATAAAAAAAGGGGGAGCCATTAGACATGTATTGACCTATCCCCGAAATACCAGAAATCAGAACTGTGGTTGAGGATTTCATAATGTCTGATGATAACATTGGAATAATTATAATCTTTTTTTGTAAACTTTTGATGATGAAAAGATTCAATTATCCCAAGCACCAATTTCAAGTGTAATCAAGAAGAAGGGAGCCTTATTTCAATTGATATGAATAAAAATATGTGATAATTCATAGATTGGTAGAAAGGATGAACTACTCCTAGTAGCAATAATGCATGGGGGGGAGGTCCTTGTTTTTGGTGTGACAACCCCACATAGTTGGAGACTGTATTATCACAATCATGTGGACAGGACCTATGGTTTGGGTCTCTTCTTTAGAATTGGTACAATTCTTTAGAATTCTTCTTTAGAATTGGCCTTTAACAGGAACTTTAAACTACAGTGTTGATGTTAAAGAATAGGAAGTCTCTCCAAAGTCCATCAATCTAATCAGGTAGCCATGTGCAGATTAGTCCATGCAGATTACCTTAGTGAGCATATAGCTACAGTCCCCAAAAAAGGAATAGTGTTTCTCATCAAAACTGGTGATATGGGAGCCACCTTCAACAGAACATACTCCAGGACATGAAAGGCTGATGCAAGTCCACTGTCCCCCAGTGCATGAACTGAAGTAAAAAGAGGAAGAGGATGATATTACCAACAAATTATTAAACAAAAAGTAGAGCAATCCTTATAATAAAAAGGTTGGTTGTTGTACTATGCATATTCTCATGTTTTCAAGTAAAGCAACTCCTATAATCCTGAAGGAAGTATTTGTATACAAGAGAGGATACTTTAAAAATCCTGTTTCATTTGATAAAGAAATTAATGTATTTGGAGTTTTCTAATTAAAGAAGCCTATTGGTCAGCCAAATTAGGCTTGTATTAATAGAATACCCAGTTTTCCTCAATCCTTATCCAAATTCCACATCATGGATTTGAATGACAAATATACTCCAGTTTTTAAATTCTAGAACATTCTCTGGATGTTTGCTATAATTTATAGAAGCTTTTTCTTCAGTATATGATTGCTGACAATAATAGTCTTCCAGCCTTTGATAAATGAGACACAGTAGCATTTAGCATCTGAAGGAAGATTGATGAATTTTTAAACTTTAAAAGATGTGGTTATAGATAATCATCTCTGAAAACAGAGGCTACTTATGCCCACCTATTTTGTATCTCTGCCATGGCATTACAGCATTTTGCAGAATTTTATAGGCTACATTTTAGTTCTGGGGTGTCAAACTCGATTTCATTGAGGGCTGCATCAGGGTTGTGTTTGACCACGGAGGGGGGGGGCATTTTGGTGGGGTCAGGGTGGACATGGCTACCTCAATGTGACTCATGTAGGAGGCACCTGTGGTGGCTCAAGTGCAGTGGTGGGATTCAAAAAAATTTTACTATTGGTTCTGTGGGCATGGCTTGGTGGGAATGGCTTGGTGGGCATGGCCATGTAACTGGGTGGATGTGGCTTTCTTGCTTTTTTTCAGCCACTCCCACCCATTTTTAAGGCCTTCTGGGCCTCAGAGGAGTCTCGGTGGGGGGGCTTTTTGCTTCCAGAAGGCTCATCTGGGGCTCAGGAAGAAACAAAAAAACAGCATGGGAGGGGCACACAATACCCCTCCACGCTCCATTTTGGGACCTTCCTGGTCTCAGAGGAGCCTCTGTGGGGAGCGTTTTTGCTCCCAGAAGGCTCCACTGGGGCTCAGGCAGGCAAAAAATGGAAGGGGGGGTGAGCCCCTCCCTCCATTTTTTGCCTTCCTGGGCCTCAGCAAGAGGAATCCTGGCACAGCTGATAGTATGAACAGCTGATTGTCAGCAAGGGAGAAAAAGAAATACCTTAAGTGGTGAGTGGCAGGTGGGCAGGGTGAGCGAGCATCAGATGGGCAGGGCAAGTAAGCCAGTGGCGACCAGGTGACTGTGTTGGGGGCATGGCCAGCCAGAACTTACTACCAGTTTGGCGACCCATGTCAAATCCTTGCTACCTGATCCAGTGTGAACCAATTGAAGGCCACCACTGCTCAAGTGCTCTGCCAGTGAAAACTGAACTTTGTTTTTGCTGGCAGAGCATTGCAGGAAGCCAATGCAACCGAAAACAGAGCTTGGGAGAGCCACACACGGCCCTCCCGGGCTCCATTTTTTCTGGCAGAGGCACCATAGGCTGGTCCTTCACTGTTTCCAGGGAGGCATTGTGTGCCAGATCTAATCACTCTGCAGGATAGATCTGGACTCCGGGCCTTGAGTTTGACACCCCTGTTCTAGGTTAAATGCTCAGAAATATCATCAATGTCATATAAACAGAGTATCATGCAATGGGATTTCCTATTATGTGCCTTCTCCTCATGGTTTTCCTCTTCAAAACCTTTCTAGAGGACCTCCTCTAGAAGGAGGAGGCAAAGCACATTTGGGGAAAACTAATGTAGGAATGGAGAAAAAATGAAAAATGCATTCAACTGGGGTTTGCTTCTTTTGGCAAATGAACATCTTCAGAAATGTTTTTCAAGTCATATAAAGTAATAATAGGTCTTATCATCACTAACAATGAATGCAGTCAACTATATGCATGCCTGATGAAGAGCAGCCAAAGAGATCAGCAGACCTGATTTTCAGTTATTTGCCTATTTACACAATACATGATGAGCTTTTTAAGACACCCCAGGTTCAAGAAACTATTTGGAAGTATTTGCTTGCCACCATGTAAATCGAATAGAATTATGATATTTCTAACAATGTGTTTCCCAGGCCTTTGATTAAGATAGAGTGAGTCCCTTGTTGGGTACATTCTTATTAATGCCTAAATATTTGGTATATATTGAATTGATATGGCAATATGTGAGCCAACCAGAATCAGCTGGAGATGGGAAATTCTTAAATTAACTAAATTTCATAATGAACCGTTCTACAGTCAAAATGTGCCTATAGATTTATTGATATCTATAATTTGTCAAGCTTTTAATTTTTGAAGAAAAATGAATCAATTTTTTAAAAAAATTACTATATTTTTCAACTTTGTGAAAAACTCTTTTGTAATAAAGAGCTATTTTTGTGCATCCACACGGCAAGAATTTGTAGCAGGGGTAGGATTAAACTTTTTTAACAACCGGTTCTGTGGGTGTAGCTTAGTTTGTGGGCGTCCCTTGGTAGTCATGTGATTAGGTGGATGTGGCTTGGTGGTCATGTTATTGGCTGGGTGTGGCCAACTCAGTATCACTCACATCAAGGCACACATCTCCTCACCTGGCCTCTCATGACTGTGGGGATGCTGCAACAGTTGTGAGTGTGAAAAATTGTCATAAATAACTTTTTTCAGTGCCATTGTAACTTTGAATGGTCACTCCACACAAGCAAAGTACCAGCAAAGGAAGGGAAACTCCAGAGACATTCCTGAGACAGGAAGGCTAGTCCTGCCAAGGATAAGGGTTAATAAGGGTAATAAGGGTTAACGGAGAGGCAGTTTCTGTAAGCAAGACCAGAATGTTTCTTTCCTGCCTTCCTTACAGGATTAGGCCAGTAATTTCTTCTAACAACCAGTTCTCCGAACTGCTTAGAATGTTAACAACCGGTTCTAGTGAATAGGTGCAAACTGGTAGAATCCCACTCCTGATTTGTACATGGATTCAGAAATAACAGCATGCAAAGCAACAAGGAATTCATGTTCAAAAAAGAAATCCCTTTATGTGTGTAATTAAACATTATTTCACAATCTTGTGACATTCTTAGCATTATTAGTTGTGCCCAGTTTATTCCTAACAAGCCAATTTATCAAATAATATGCATCTTCCTCTTTCCATCACTAATAAAACATTATTAAATCACAGAATATTATTATTCTCACCATGAAATACATTGGGAGGAAAAAGAAGTACCAGGAGCATAAGAATCCCCATTGTAAGTGCAGTAACAATCTGAACTGGGGATGCAGCCAGAATTGTTAATGTCATCAAACACAGTGCCTAAACAAAAAATAACCAATATATGTTATTCATGCTCATTTCTATTTTTAAGAAGTATGAATACATTATATCATTCCCAGTAATAAATCTCCTTGACTCTTGTCATCAGTATAATGTGTTATATTTTTCCTTCAATACAGGAAAGCACCTGAACTATTTCCATATCTGGAGCAGGGTTTCAGATGACACCGAAGCATGTTCTGATGTTAAGGCAACCATGAATCAGCTGGTTTTCACTGGAAACCATGGTGTGTGGAAAAAGAAGCCATGATCTTAATAAAAAACCACTCTTTATAAAGCTTTTCCTCTACACCATCAGATTTATAGATGCAGTATTTCTGATGAAAATACTCCCTCCTTCCCTCCCTATCAGTAGTATCTCATGGAATTTTGCCCTTAATTGCTATAAAAGTGGTTTATGGAAAGCTGTTAAAGAAACAAATCTCTACCATGTTCATAAAAGCCAGCATCAAGACAAAAGTACAAGGTAAAAATATTTTTATGAGGGTGAACCAGATTTTTATGCTGCCGTGTAGTAAATTCTAGCAAGAAAATACACATAAAGTTGTTCTTCTTGAGCAGATTTAATTTCACTCTAGCACTCAGCCAATTTCCTTGATCTGTTAAATCAAGTCAATTCTATTTTGTAAATTCAATACAATTGTAGATCAAGAAACAGAATTAAAATTAAACTACAAAACATCCAGCACAAAAGTTTGTTTTATCTTCAGATATATAAATAAATCAATATCTGTTTAGAATTCAAACAATTTTAATTTTCTTTTCTCCCCAAATGCCTTTTATGTACATTACCTTTACAATGCTTCAAATCCAATCAAATGAAAGTCAACTATTCATACCGAAGACAAAAAAGGTGTTTTATTTTTATCCTTTAAATGGTCCTTCCTGCAAGAGCACTGAAATATCACATTTTTTACACATGTCAGAGAAGAGCAAACACTTTATTGCAAACTTGTTTTCCTTTCCATGCTATCTGGAATGAAATTCCATGTAGCGACTTCTATAACGAAGAAGATACTTCTTTTTTTAATACCAAAAGATACTTCCACCAGGCAAGTCTATAAACAATTGAGCATGGATACTGACTTACCGGGGGGACAGAAACAACCATCTATACAGTGATCTTCACATAACTGGGACTGCTCAAAATTGGTACAAGTGTCAAAACAAGGGGATCCACATTCTCGATGCTGCATGTTGAAAGGACAAGACTTGGCTGAAAATAGAAATGAACAATGAGACATTAGAAACCCCATTTATACTTTTTTTCCTCTCTCTGGAGATAAAAATGCTTAAGCAGAATGTTGGCAATATATTTTAATCCTCAGAGGGAACCAATTTCTGGGAAGCAAATATTAAGAAGCTGAGTTTATCATCAGTCTGGAAAAAAGAAGATGTGTTGTACAGAAAGGCAAGGGGAAACATGGTAATGCATATATATATATATATATATATATATATATATATATATATATATAAATTTTTATTGGGGGCGGACCTGGCATTGCGACGATACAGCATGCGATCTTGGAGGTCTGAGATCACTGCCGATATCTTTGCTCCTGGACGATCCAAATGGATTTAAACCATCCCAAAGAGATGGTGAATGTAAAGAGCGCATCCTGTTGATCCCAGGGACATCGCAAAATCCCTGGTAGATCCAGGAGAAGCTCTTCTTGCCAGAGGCAAAGAGGCAGCCATTAAAGCTGCTGAAGTTGGGACAGCTCCGAAACAGAAGAGAACAGAAAGAGAGAGTGTGCCGGTTTGGTGAGAACTTTTTCTTTATTCTAAGATTTGAAAGGACACCCTAAGGAAAAGAAAGAATCTTTAGAAGTTTTGAGAGAAGTGATTAAGCAGCGATTTTAAACAGGAATGTCAAAGTAATGTTTTTTTCCTCATTGCTGGATTTTCTATACATGATTTTATATTTTGAAACTGAACTGGTTTTTTTCTTTTCCATCTATTTTTTTTCTCCTTTTTGATTTTGTAACCATTTTAGGCTAGAGTCTCCTTTTAGTTATTTCTTTTCTTTTTAAATATCTTTTTTTTTAATTAATTCTTATTGCATTTTGTTTGCAAAAGGAGAGGGAAAGTGAAAGCAAAGAAACTTTGTAACACTGCCAACTAGAGGCTTGGAAATATTCTATTTCTCTTGTGACCAGACAAAGCTGAGAAAGAAAGAACTGAGACTTTTTTTCAAGGACATTGCTATTTGATAAGATAGAGGGAAGAGCATGGGAGAGTATTATTGCAAATGCTCTTCTGGGTTTCTATCAACACCTGGAGTCTGGTGTTGAAGTTTATAGGAAAAGAAAAGGTGATAAGTTTCTGGAGAAAAGTGTTAAAACAAGATAGCTAAACAAAGTGCAGTGTGTTTTCTTGATTTTTCCTAAGCTGTGCTACCCCCCCTCAACAGTTTACTTTTTGAAATAGCTATTTGGACTTTTAGTTCTTTGAAACTTGTTTTTGCTTTTTTTTTCTCTTTATGCTTGTCTTTGGAAGTTAATTTTTGATGTTTGTTTTTTATTTTAAAAGAAAAATTTTAGTATTAATGATTCCCTTCCTTTTCTTTTGAAGGGAGTAGTCTTTTTTTTTCTCTTTCTCTTTTTGCCTTTCTGGTACTTTTGTTTTTCCATCTACCTCCAATACTGGTTTTTTCTTCCTTTTTATCTTTCTGGGTTTTTTTTTCTCTTATGCAGCCTTTTATATTTGAGACCTCTTAATTGGATTAAGGTGTTGAAGGACCTGAAGAATTTTTCCTTTTTTAAAGCTTTTTATTCTTCACTTTTCCGTCTTTTTTAGGATTTTACAACTTTTTCTCCTTTGTGTATGTTTATGGTTTTTTCCTTCATTTTTGAATTTTCATTGTTATCTAACTAATCAATTGGATTAAGGTATACAAGAACCTGAAGAAATTCTTTTTTCTTTTTTAATTATTATTACAATTTGGCTTCTTTTTCCCTACTATTTTTATTTGGAATTGCAATTGGTTACTTCACAATTGGATTAAGGTTTAGAAGAACCTGAAGATTTTGAATTATTTGAAATGAGTAGGAAATTAACAGCTACTGATTCTTCAACTTCTACTTTCTCCTCTACACCATCTGGAGGACAACGTTCAATACAGACAATGTGAAGACAAGAGAAAGAACAAGAAAAAGAAAAGGTGATTGTGCAGATGATTATGCATGGAATTCAAAACATTCAAACAAGATCAGTGAACATTGAAAAGAGAATAGAGAACATTGAACATTGAACAAAGAACAGGGAAAACCGATGAAAAAGTCAAGAATATCCAACAAATGATGATGAAGTATGATGAGAGACTACTAAAAATTGAAGAAGATAAACAAAGAGATAAGAAGATTGGAGACATTGATACCAGATTAACTGTGGTTGAACAAGATAAAAGTGGTATGCTGAGATGGGAGATGGACAGTTCAGAATTTTATCTCAGATTCCAAAACATAGAGGAAGAAAAATGACAAAATCTAGCTGAGATAATGATAGAAATATTGGCTGAAGCTTTGTAAATAACTGAAGAGAAGATGATAGATGGAATAGATAAGGTTTAATGAGTCTTCACAAGATACGCAATGAGAAATAGCCTACCAAGAGAAGTTCACATCATATTTACAAAGAAAGCCATTAAAACGCAAATATTGCAAGTGGCAAGAGAGAAAACATTGAAATATAAAGATAAGGAGATTGTGGTTTTGAAACAAGTACCCAGAAGAGCGAGAGAGATGAGAAGAGAATACCGATTCTTGACCAAATTGCTACTTAAAAAAGAGGTGAATTATAGATGGTTGATTCCAGAAGGTTTAATGTTCACATGGCAAGAACAGAGATACAGAATTGATTCAATTGAGAAAGATGAATCATTTTCTATAGAATTTTTCAGAGGGAAAGAGGAAGAGGCAGAAAAAGAAATTTCACTAATTGAATTCCAAGAGGACTGCCAAATGACAACTGAAAAAAAGGAAGGTGCAGTAGGTGGAAAAGAGGAAGCCAAAGGACAACGTGGACCAAGATCCACGAGAGCTGCCAAACCTAATTATAAAATATAACCATGGAAGAGAAAAAATTGATTACAATTAATATAAATGGACTTAATTCAGCCATTAAAAGAAGGAAAACTTTCCATAAATTAGAGAAATTAAAATTTGATATAATCTGCTTACAAGAAGTACATATTAAAAAGCAATATGAACAATTGTTGATACAGCCAAAAGTAGGGGAAATATTTACCTCCTTGACAAAATGCAAGAAAAGAGGAGTGGTTTTATATATTAAAGAGACCATTCCAGCGAAATTGGTTTATACTGATGATGACAGAAGAATACTAATGGTGGAAATAATGGATAATAATACGAAAACACTCCTGATTGCAATCTGTGCCCCGAATGACAAACAAGAAGAATTTTATAAAAAATTACATATCAAAATAATTGAACTGGACTATGCTAATATAGTTATGATGGGAGATTTTAATGGAATTGTAGACAACAAACTGAATAGAATAGAATGATAAACAATTTTATAAAGTTTGGTATCTATTCTATCAATGGTTAGACAATAAGGTATAGTAACAAAATATGTAGACTTTTAGAAAATACTAAATATATAAAGATGTATTCTTTTCTTATTATATCTACAAAATGATTTTAGAATAGATTTGGGATGATAATATGAATTGTCACAAAACAAATTAAGTAAAATATGATTATTTCCTAAAGCATGAATTAATAAAAGTATAGTCAAATGATTGATTAATCATGATGCTAATGTATTTAATATTGGATCGAAAATACGAGATCATATACAATGTAATTGTAATTGAAGACTACGAAATGGAAGCACAAAACAATTCGTAAACCAACCAGCACACTGTATGTACATAAGATGGAACATGTCCTGATGCTTTGATGTTTTGTTTGTGTATGTTTGTTTTAAAAAGCAGTGGTAATGCTCTTTAGATATATAAAACTGAGGAAAGGCTTCTTTTTTAAACAAACCTTAAAGGCTGAATCTAATGGGTTATTTTTTAAAAAGGTATATTAAACATTAGCACCAGCTTCTTACTGATAAGAACTGTTCAAAACTGAGCTAAATCCTGGTTGGAGATATGCAGAGTTCCTGCATATAACCCTCACTAAACTCTGAATATCCCATTGGTTAGCTTAATCAGCTGAAGCTGCTTCAGCGATATTTGAATGTTGTAGGCTGCATCTCTTTGAATTGGATCTGGATCAGAGGTGGTATTCAGCAGGTTCTGACCAGTTCTGGAGAACCGGTAGCAAAAATTTTGAGTAGTTCAGAGAACTGGCAAATACCACCTCTGACTGTCCCCGCCCCCATCTGTTCCCTGCCTCCTGAGTCCCAGCTGATCGACTGGATCTTCTTTTGTTGCCCTGCACAGAAGAACAAAGCTGGAAAGCAGGTTAGTGGGGTGAGGAGGGAAAGGGGATTTTACAGTAACCTTCCCCTGTCACACCCACCAAAAAAAAATTTGAATCCCACCACTGATTTGGATTTCCCTGTTTAGGCATAGGATTGATCTTGATGGCCTCTAACTGCCTTATCTAGGATTCTATTATACACTGATTGCAAAGAGTTCTCCATAGGAATGCAGTTTTCTTTTGGAACTAATACTTACGACAGAAATCTTCTGTTCGCCATTCAAGTGGTTGTCCACCAGCATGGGAGCATTGCCTGGAGTACTCAGCAAAGGTGTTACAGATGCAGACCTCAGTCACAGATGGATTACATTGGCATATGTCTTGTTTGCAAGCATCAATGTAGTCATGCACATCAACCAACGCATTGCAAGCTTCAAATGCATTACCAGTCAGTATATTTTGGCACAGAGTGGTCTAGAAAAAAAGAAATCAGTGCTGCTAAGATATGAACATGACATTATGTATAAACACAGGAAGCTACTACATATTATTGATCAGCATTGCTAATGTTTACAAGCTTGGTGTTTTGTTTTGTTTTCACGATTTTACTGTTTTAATTGTCTTCTACTTGCTCTTAAGAGGGAAGAAAAAGAAAAAGAAGAGGGGGGAGGAAGCAGCCAAATTCCCTTATAGAGAATGAAATGAAATACAAATCCTTACAGCCTGACTGCATTGGGTTCCAGGTAAAGGGACAGGATCTTCACATTGTTCTGTGGGTCCGTCCATCTTCTGCATGTTTCCAAACTGCAAAGGAGTCAGCTGGACATCTGCAATAAGTAGAAGGCCATTTTAGCATGTTCACAAAGCAGGATTACAAAAAAAGAGAGACCTGTTTAGACACAGGCTGCAACTTTACTATATTCCCTCTGGGTGAAATAAATCTGGCAAAGGGGTCCAAGAAAGATCATCAGTCTTCATGATATGAAACCAAACTGGTTCTTGTCAAGACAATGAGGTTAATTAGGCCAATCTCTCCTTCCCGTTATGAAGAGTTAAAGTCCCCTAGTTTTGGATATCACTGAGCAGTGGTGTTTCAGGAACAGTCAAGATCAGAGGTTTCCAAACTTGACAACTTTAAGACTTATGGACTTCAACTCCCAGCTGGCTGGAGAATTCTGGGAGTTGAAGTCCACAAGTCTTAAAGTTACCATGTTTGGGGACCTCTGATCAAGATGGTAGCAGTAACTACATGTCTGAAGCTTTACCCTTTTTATTGCCATCTTGACTTGTTTTTATAAGGCTTCCTCTTCATAGGTCCCCCACCCCGGCCAATGAGTCCTCTTGAATTTACTTATTTTATTCATTTATTTGATTTGATTTGTCAATTGCTTACAAGATAATAGGTATAAGTATTGTATAAACATAGTTATGAATACATGGATACATATAAAAAAAATAAAAGAAACAATAAGACAGGGATGGTAGGCACTTTGGTGCGCTTATGCACACTCCCTACAGACCTCTTAGGAAAGGGGTGAGGTCAATAGTAGACAGTCTAAGGTTAAAGTTTTTGGGGTTTGGGTAAGAAACCACAGAGTCAGATACAGTATTCCAGACATTGACCACTCTGTTGCTGAAGTTGTATTTCCTGCAATCAAGTTTGATGCAGTTAACCATGAGTTTGTATCTATTGTGTGCTCTTGTATTGTTATGGTTGAAGCTGAAGTATTCATTGACAGGTAGGACATGCAATGTATGATTTTATATACTATACTTATATCAGATCGAAGGCAGCGTAGTTCTAGGTTTTCTAGGTCTAGAATTTCAAGTCTGGTGGCATAAGGTATTCTGCAACGAGTAGAGGAGTGGAGAACTCTTCTTGTGAAATATTTGTGGACTTTCTCTACTGTGTTAATATGAGATATGTAATGTGGATTCCAGACTGATGAGCTGTATTCAAGTATTGGTCTAGCAAATGTTTTGTATGCTCTAGTTAGTAGTGTGACATTACCAGAGAAAAAGCTACATAGGATTAGGTTAACAGCTCTTAATGCCTTTTTGGCTAGGAAGTTACAGTGGGCTCAACACTTAGATCCTTAGAGATGAGTACTCCAAAGTCCTTGACAGAGTTTGGATCATCAACAAGGTCTTGACTATACAGCCTGTATTTTATTTTCTGATTTTTTTTGCCAATATGTAAGACAGAACATTTATTTGTTGAGAAGCATCAATCTTTATCTTATGCCTATGCATTAATTCTCTTCTAAGTTGTCATTACAGGTTGTCCTTGTTTAGTAGCTACACTCAAGGGTCTTCAAACTTGGCAAGTTTAAGACTTGTGGACTTCAACTCCCAGAATTCCTGAGCTAACATGACTGGAGGAGGAATCCTGGGAGTTGAAGTCCACAAGTCTTCAAGCTGACAAGTTTGAAGACCCCCTGAGCTACAGTTAGGATTCAATCATTAAGCTAAGTGAAACCTGGGCTGTGACTATGATCTTACTTCAGCTTTCTTTTGCTTTACAAACCTGCCCAATTCATATATTGAGTGACCTTTAATTACGACTGTGATGAAAAAGTAACATTGCAGCCAGTCCTTGAATTTAGCTCAATATTTCTCATTCTCAGTAACTTTAAAATATGTGGACTCCAATTCCCAGAATTCTCCACCAGCATGCAGTAGAGAAACACATATTAATCTGAGCTGTAACTCCTTGCAAGAGAAACCCATTATTTTCTTTTCCTGGCACATCTCTGACCACATTAAATTTTACAGCCTTCTTTCCAGGCTGAAGTGAAAAACAGATATCTAGGTTTAAAAAGGTGCATGGAATTTCTACATTAGTTCTGAAAAAGCAAATAATAAAGAAACAAACCTAGGATCCTTTCATATTTGGAAGTGGTTATTTCAACAATCTTAATCCTTTTTATAACATCATACAGTTGCATAGTTTAATGCTGTCAAACCAATTATCTTTTAGTGGTATTGTCAGAATAAATCCTGTTCTAGAAATAAATTGAGATGTGACCCCAAAAGCAATAAAAACAGAAATCTACTATTTTTGCCACTTACTGTTGGAAATGAATTCATTGTAGGTTGCAATTTGATTGAAATCTCCACAAAGGCCACAAGTTTGATTAGCATATTTTTCATTTAGTTCCAACTAAAACAAGACAAAATAATGTAACTATAGTGAAGATCTAGAGTTTTAAGAATGAAAATTAAGAAATGACAACAGGCTATGTATAACATTGGTAAACAGGTGTAGAGATGAGCATGTGTAGAGATTAAAATGAAGTTCATTTGGATTAGCTTTAAGATCCGATAGTGGATTTCTGTTTTCTTTCTTATTTTTGAATTCCCATTACATCCAACTGTTGCCTTTGACTGTCATGTTAAATCATGGTGTTGTACAAAATAAACAGGCCATTGCACCCTTTTCCTATGGTACAATTAAAATTGAAGATAGAAAGGTTTTGTTCTGATGTCTCTTTGAGCAGTAAGTGGTATTTAATATTAATTATGACTCATTTTAGCAGGCGTACTTCATAAGCCATTAATATTTTGGTTAAAATCAAACTTCTTCAATTTATTAATCAAATTAATTAAATATACTGCCCATCTCATCTGAGTGACTCTGGATGGTTTACAAATAAAATCCATTACAGTCAAAGAGACTTGCTTTTAATCATAAGCAAAGTTTAAAAACAGTATTAAAACAAAGGTTAAACAGTAATAAAAGATAGGGGGAAATGCAACCATCCTGAGTTGCATTGCAGCCATCCTGCAACCATGCCAATCTTGAACCCTATGCCAGGGATCACAACATATCTCCCCTACTTAGCCAGGTTGGCTGAGTCAAAGTAATTGAGACAAGATGATCCCATTCTCTGAAGGGCTTTAAAGGTAATAATCAATACCTTGAATCGGACTCAGAAGCAAACAAGCAGCTCACATAACTGAGGTGTCACATGTGCAACTCCTAGGGACAGCCAGAACTGCACATGCCACCTCATTCTTCACCAGCTACAGCTTCTGAACACTTTTCAAGGATAGCTACATGTAGAGGACATTGCAGTAGTCCATACAGGAGATTACCAGGGTATGAGTGACAGAAATAAGTGCTTCTCAGATACAGCTAATCAGAGGGACCTTATCGATCATTTAGTCCAACCTCCTGCCCAAGCAGGAGACCCTACACCATTTCTGACAGATGGGAGTCCAATCTCTTCTTGAAATTAGGGAAGGGATGCAACTGGTACATAACAGAAAGTTGAGCAAAGGCCTCTTTGCAATGATTGCCACCCGCTCCTCAAGCAGGAATCTTGAATCCAGGAGGACCCTCAGATTATGTACTTAAAATGAAACAAACCTTCCCAAACATTTCCTTGAAGTCATCCCAGAATAGAAGAGAAAGGACAGCCCTCAATGTTGCTGTGCCTCGTTCATCAGGGCATAAACTAAATTTATCAACATGCCTGAATATTGTCAGACACCAAATCAAGTGAGACAAGTACTGAAGAATCAACAAGAAAAGGGATAAGAAATAAATGGAATGAGACTGAAGGTAGTCCTCTACTAATCATGGCAGCTAAGTTTAAACTTGGTCATTACAGTCATTACTAAGTCAGCCACATGACCATCTTGCTCAAGTGGCTGCAATCCAAGATCTACCTGTTGCAGTCATTAAGCAACTGTGCATGGGGTGCCTTGGAAACTGGAGGAGGCCTTGGGAGGCACCCACCAGCTTCTGAAAATCCTCTCTCTGCCCCACCACACCCATTGTGGTACTCCATCCTTTATGGGAGTCTTTCTGTCACTTCATTCCATCCTTCATGCAGGGCCCATTCTTGTGATGGTTTGGAAGGCTCTTCACTGAGTTATGTCATCTGAAGAGAGGAGACCTTCCAAATCATCATGAGAACAATGGCATTTGCTAGTATTTTCTCCTCCTGAAAGAGGAGAAAGGTTCTGATGCTCAAGATCAGGAGTCAAAATTCATTTGATTCTTTGCTTAAACATTAATGAGGTTGCTGAGCAATTTTTTTTTTTTTTTGGAAATTTTTATTTAGGTTTTCACAAAAAAACCCCCATAATATAAATAAAACATCTTTTTTTCAAAAATAGCATGGTCCCTGGTTACACTTCTTTATATAGACACAAACTCAATTTCATGCTCACTTTTATGTTCCATTCCATATCTTATTACTGTTTTATATTTTCTACATAGTTTTTCTCCTCTCTTAATTTTCTCAATTTTATTTTAATTATCTCATCTTAATTCCAATCATTATATTTATACTTTTGTCTGTCCTGTTTCAATTTCATATTTTCTTTTCTCATTTAACAGATTTTCTCCTGTAGTTACTAATTGGAGTATGACACCTTTATATCTTTTGATTTTATCCATTCAACTCTTATTTAAGCTTCAATATATACCTTGAGGTTATAACTTTCAATATAATACATAACTTCCAATCAAATTCTGCTTGGTACATTCTTAAAATACACATTATATTCTTAAAAAGTGATTCTAAATATATATAATTAAAACACTCATTCCATTCCAATTCAGTTCTATCATTAATATTTATTAAAGTCTTAACACCTTTAACATTTCTTTTCAATTAAATATCATACTTCCTTGGGAACACTTATAAGCTTTCTGTAATTGATTTTTTGATTTTTTTAAAGCATTAAATAATTAAAATGCTCCCATCCTTTCCTAATTCAATTCTCTCATTCATTTTATTTCATTTATTTATTAACAAACATTTCACTAGATTACAATAACTATTTTATCCATCATTTTAATCATACATTGTTTCATATTTTCTAAAATTATTTCTATTTCTAATATAATAATACTATCTTATGTACCTTTGCAGAATCCCTTTTTCAATTAAATTTTCACCCATTATCTCTAAATAGGTCGTTTCTCCATATCTTGTTTCTGTCCTTTATAACTTCATTTCCTTTCCTTCTTCCCTCTCTTCTTCTCCTTCCCCTTTTTACCCCCTTGTCTCTCTACTTCTAATTCTCTCTTCTGTATTCCCCTCTTCTGTTGCTTTCTAATATTATACTTATTTTTCAAACTATACTTCCTTTTCTTGGTTGCTTTTTCAAATCTTAAACTTTTCATTCTCTTTCCCCCCCTTTCCTTTCTTTTCCTCACATAAAATTACTTGTTCATTCAAGAACATTCTTTGTCCTAGTCTTCTTGTTCTGCAGGCATTTCTTGTTGTTTCTCATAGTTCCAGATCTCCATTTCTAAGAATTGAAATACAAAGCCAAAAGAACCTCTCCCTTCTTGTGCATCTTCTTTGTACTTTTTAAGTTCCATTTTCAGTTCATCTAAATGTAGTGCCATTTTAAACACTTTTAAACAACCACCCGATTGATTTTAGTCATTCAAATGCAATAACCAAAAATCCAGAAATCAACAAATAATCCAAATACTCCCAAACTGTTTCTTCATACTTCTTTTTTCCATTTCTCTTCCTGGGGTTCTACTATTCTGTTGCCAAGTTTCAGTTAGGATGTATCTTTTAGAAGTCTTGTTGAAATTTTGCTGTAAATTCCTTTTAATTCCAGGCAGTCTCCTCCCTTTTTTCCAAATCCTGCCCTTTTATTCTTTTTCTCTCCTTTCCTGCTTTTAAAAACTTTTAAGTATCCAGAAATCTTTATCGCTTTGACATTTTATTTTCAGCTTAAATGCCTATTGATGTCAAAGTGGATTTTTTTTCCAATTTCTTATTTAAATCTCTTAGCTGTCAGTATAGGGAAAGGGAGAGAAGAAGAAAAACCCAAATCCTTTCCCTTTTCCCTTTCCTTCACTGCTTCAAAGTCTTCTTTGGGAACAATGTTACTTTTTTTTTTAGTTTAAATTCCAGGGTAACTTAGTTGTTGCTTTTGCAGTTTAACCCAGTCAGTCAAAACTTTATTTTCTTATCTTCCTCCTGCACATTCTTTTCCGGTCGAGTTCTTCTTTGAGGTGGCAATTTCTGACCACCGCTGCAACCACCTTCGGGAAAGGGAGTAATGGCGAGCTGAGGAGGAGAGATGCAGCTCTCCTCAACCCTACTGGCAGTCTCCCCACTCTTCACCACCTCTATGGGGTGGCTTAGCCTCGAAGCCAGCCAGCTCGGGGCGCTCCAGCGGTGAGCACAGATCGAAACCGCGCACTATCGCGTACCATTAAGGCTGCTAGTTTTGGGCTGCAAAATTTGACTAAATGACAACAGTGAGATGTGGAAAACCTTTCTGTTTTTGCTTACATCAAGCGATCATCCAGATTTTTGAAACTTAGATCTGATAGTCCTTAGCCTCATAGCTACATTTTCAGTATCTAATTGTGCAAGCAAAGATATCTTCAAGAACAGACACGCAATTAAGAACATCAATTAAATAAGGAAGCATAACATGACCACACCCACCATTTAAGCCACACCCACAGAACCAATTGTTAAAAAATTTGAATCCCACCCCTGAATAACACTCTCTCACACATACTGCATATACCCATGATGGTGAACCTATGGCATCAGTACTGGAAGAGGCAGTCAGGGCCACTTCTGCCAGCATGCGAGAGGTCGCCCGAAGGAGCCCCACTGCGCATGCATGCACCCCCACCAGTCAGCTGATTGTTGGCTATCTGCCACGCATGCGCAGAGGCATGCACCATGTGAGAGAGGTGTTGCGTGCACATGCATGGAGGTGTGTGATGCAGGAGGGATCATGCGTGCATGTGCAGAGGTGTACAGTGCAGGGGGTCACATGCACATGCACAGGGTGGTGGAGAGAGTCACACATGTATTGCATCATGGATGCAGGCATGCACGGGCACTTTTTGCACGCAATTTGGGAAAGGTTAGCCATCACTGGTATGTACAATATTTGTATAGATAGATAGATAGATAGATAGATAGATAGATAGATAGATAGATAGATGGATATGTGGATAGAAAGACAGACATAATATATTTGTGTAAGCAAAGATCCACAAGTCTTTTCCAAAACCATAATAGGAATTCCTTTCTATATCTAGAATAGGTTCTTACCAAAAGGCTGTCCCCATGATTCCACATCAGGGTGATTCCTGATTTCCCTTGGATCTTAAGATAATCTGAGATTCTCTCCATCAGAATTCCTAAGTGGCTGTAAGGCAACTGAACCCTAGAAATAAAGCACATTGCAACTGAAAGTGACAGAAATTCCCTTACAGGAAACTTCTCATTTACAAATGTTAAAGTGGAATACGAATGATATATGAAATGACACTCTTCCTCCTTGCCCTGATGTGACTGGAATTTGTGGTGTTCAAATAACCAAAATATATTTGTTTAAATAATGAAACTTACGGCTCTCCATTGACAATAATGGAATTTGTGGTCAGTTCAACAGCTACTCCATCAAGTTTTAAAACCACATGGCTTATAACGGTAACATTCTTAATCACCAAGTGTCTTATTTGCACATTGAAGTCTTCATAAGAGGATTTGCAGTGGGATGCAAAGACATAATTGCAGAGTCCAGGAAACTGATAGATATCTCCATCAAAGGTCTTGAAGTGGAAATTGCCCCAAGTGCTACACACTCTATGATTATGAGCAGAGTTTCCAGCTGTGGATTCAAAGTAATATGTAAAACTTTTTGTTCAAAACTATCTTCTTTAGCCACCTCAGTCAACCCATCCCCTCATCCACCCATTTATTTTCTCATCCATTCCTCTAAGAGGTTTTTTTCCACTCTTTCAATCATGACCAATTACTTGAGACTGCCTAGACAAATTGCTGCATTTTTCTTGGAAAGGTTTTTTTTTTTGAAGTGGTTTGCTATTGCCTTCTTCCTAGGGCTGACAGAAAGTGACTGGCTCAAAGGTTTGTTCCTAAGGTGGGACTAGAACTCATAGCCTTCTGGTTTCTAGCCTGATGCCTTAACCATGACACCAAATGGCTGTCTTGTCTGGAGTACATAGCCTCAATCATTCACATAAAGAATGGCAACATTTCGGTGTGATTATTTGTTGCTATTTGCCATTGAGTTTCCTTCCTTTCCACCCTTCTTTTTGATTGCTCTATTCTTCATAAAGTCTTCTATTTTCACTCTGAGCTCACATCACTGATGTGACTAGAACTAAACTCTTAAATTCATATAAGAGCAAGCAATCTAAAACTATTTTTACAATATAAAAATATTATCTTTGACCAACTTACACTTGATAACCATTGTTGTTCTCAATGCAGGGATCATGCTCACAGGACTTAAGGGCGCTAATGTGGTAAAATCTGAAAGAAAAGAATTCCATTATAGACCAAACATATTTGCAATGCCACAACGTATTTCTAAACCTCAGTAATGATTACATTGTCTAGTGATATTTCTCTCTCTAAATTCAGAAATGACTAGTACGTATGTGTGAGGGGAACCTTTACCTTTATCTTTTTATGATCAAATTTATTTGTTGCCTATCTTGCAGTTCAAGGCAACTCTAATATTTATAAATATTTGATATTTATTTTGGCAGATCTTTCATTCTTTGATTAGCTGAGTAATTGGAATATTCTCAGCTGGAGTTCTAAAGAATACAGTGCAATTCTTAGAGTGCAGGAATAGTTAAAGGAATAACAATAGTTTCTTCATCAAATTGAAGTCCAGATGTCCAGGAGAAGAGCCTTTTCTGCCATGGCTCTTACCTTTTGGAGCATCATACCTTCCAAGGTGAGATATACAACCACCCTCCTGACCTTCCACAAAGGCCTGAAGACCTGGCTCTGCAACTTGGCCTGGGGCCCCCAAAGGAATGTACCACTCTGAAGGTGGCTATAGATCTAACTGTCCCTGAGGTATTTCATGCTTCCCTCCTCCATATTTTTATTGTTGTTACTGTTATTGTTGTTTAGTGTCCATCATTTTAATGTTTACACATTTTTTATGCTTGTAAGCTACTCAGAGTTGTCTCTAAATGGGCAGCATTTATTTATTTTAAATAAATAAGCAAATAAATTTGGCAATTCAAAACTTTCTGAATTTCCTGGTAATAATATAAGTTATTCTTAATTTAGTGGGATCTTTGTTGAATAAATATGCATATAACTAATATGAAACAAAGTTTTCAGATTAAAAAATAGAGAAAATAGTAATATATCATTCAAATACATTCCTGTAATGTTTCATATTGTAACTGCAATGTTACCATATGAAATCATTAATCAGTGCTAAAATTATGGGAATTTGTCTTCATATAATTAAGCTTAATTCTGAAAGTGATGTCCTATATAAAAGTAGCCATGGTGGCAAACATTTTATTTCCATTGTGCAATCCATATCAAAATGTGAGAGAATGAATCCCTTTCTGCACTTAAATTTCTTTATAAATGGGTAGTGGAACAGTATTTCAATTGTTGGCAAAATGTAATTACCTTTAAAGAATATTTCTTTGTGCAGATGGCAATTACGCAACAGAAGGAAAGGCAGAAACCCAAATTCCGTTTTCTTTTCTTTTGTCACTTTTCTTCCTTTTTTTCTATTTCCTGTTTTTTATACTTCTATTGTATTCCAAAATTCTAATAAAATGTTTTTTTAAAGAATATCTTTGTTGACAAGCTTAAACGGAGAACTTAAATCACTACTGAAATAGTGACTTGCTGAATGAGGAAAGGAGTCCTGGTCCCTCAAATACAGGGCTGCTCAACCAAAGAATCTTGTCATGAATTTTTTTTGTAATTCCTAGGCCTTTATGGTACCAAAAGGTTCCCAGTCATTTTTTTGTAATTCCTAGGCCTTTATGGTACCAAAAGGTTTCCAGTCATTTTGAGAGAAGAAGTTGACAAAAAAGAATGAAATATTAAGACTAAAATTGTCACCATTTTTTTCACATAAAATATTTCTCTCTCTCAGAAATACAGAGAGAAACTGATAATGGAAAATTCTGGTCAGGCCCATAGCATAAACACTGCTCCAAGCATTTTCTATTATTATTTTTTCATCGCTGTGGGCTTAATCCATCAAAAGCTGTTAGGTATGGCTGCTTGCCAATAAGCAGTTACAATCCCAAATTTGTTTTTCATCACAGCCTAATCTCTTTAACACAAGAATCATTGCAAAATTTCTCCACCCTTCCATTTGCAGAGCAACTCCTGTTTGCCACTTATCTATATAACTGAAGAACTAGTCCTTACTATTTGGCAACATGTGACTTGTGGCAATATAGTTTTCTTTATGGTTGAAAGATTTAATGATTTAATGGAGAATTTAGGTTGAATTAATTTCAGCTTTGTATAGAAAGTGAATTGAATGAAATGCATGTCTTAAACTACTTTAAGGGCCACCTTGATGTTTCTTTTTATAATACATGTGAAAAAAACTGGAAAATTAGATTTAGATTTGTGGATAATAATGATCAAAATCTAGAACTGATCCAAAAAAAACCCTATCTATTTCCCAGGTAAAGGCATATCTTAAATGTTGTATTTTAGAAACACCATTATTTTATACCATATACCCCATTCTTATTTTAATTTCTTCAACTTTAATGATTCTGTAACAGTTCTAACCAAACTTTTCTTACTACTGAAAATTGTCCTTTTCTAAATTGGAAGGGACGTAATGACAAAAATCAAAAGGCTAATTAATTTTAAACTACATACTATCATGGGTGTAAACTACTTACTATCATGGGTGTATATCCACACATACACAGAATATATTTGTTTAAGAACATTATTCAAATACAGTTTGAGATTAAATACTTGTGTAGTTTGTAAGTATGCTGCTTAGCTGATGAAAATGAACAATACTTCATTGTAGACATAATTTTATTTGCAATGCCCCATCTTAAAAAAACATATTTTCCCCCTGTTTCTCCTAGCTACCCAAACTCTCATTGGGAAGATTCCACTTTTATTTTAAATGGAAAGAACAGCTGCAGGATGTGCAGTTTTTGCATGAAGTAAACTTTGAAGGCAGGCGAACAGTTAATTTTGCGTTTAGTGTGCTGGACAGCTGCCAATCACAAAAACAATTAAAAGGACCAGTGAGAGAAGTAAGAATACAGGATTGGTTGACTGGCTTTGCAAGCATATCCCCAAATATTCTCTCCCCAACAAAGAGAAGCTTTTTCTGGCTGTAAGCTTTTTCTCAGTGATATTTTGAGCCTGGTAATGTCATAGAATAGAAGAGAAGAGAAGAGAATAGAATGGAATGGAATGGAATAGAATAGAATAGAATACCTTTATTGTCATTGCATTCCACGAATACAATGAAATTTGAAAGCTAGTCCAGCACAGTGCCCCAAACACCACATCACAATCACACTACACAGTTTTAAAAATTAAAATAATTATAATAATAATAATAGGACTAAATCACAAATGCACTACTTGATGCAAGACAATTACTGCCTTGGAAAAGAAACTGTTTCTCAATCTATTAGTTGTATAATATATTTTATGTGTATGTGGAATGATAATGAAAGAAGCTGTTGCCTGCAAAAGCTCTTGCAACTTAGTCCTTCTTTCTATTATCTCACTTTAAAGAGATCGAAGCCTTACTATGAGAGAGCAACTAGATGTCAGGTTCATGTGTTTATGATTCTTCTACCCAGCTAAGCTCAAACAATGCCTAGCTCTAATAGAGTCTGCAAGTTCTTGCCTTCTTATACCTTGGGATGATGCCCACATTCCTGTTCCACTCCACTTCCAATAGGCCTGAGGGAAAGATGATTAACAGGTGATATGATCACCATTTTCATATCTGAAGGGCGATTATGCGTAGGTGATGAAGCAAATGTAGTTGTTGTTGTTGTTGGGCTCAAAACAATGAGTTCACATTACAGAATGAGAAAAGGAGAGACGGAGGATGGTGAATGTTATATGTTAGGAAATTTTAATTTAAAAATAACTTCCTGGTGGCACAAGTGCCAATGATGGAGTTTGGATGACCATCTGTGTAATTATGAATGGCCTGTTTTGGCAAGGAGTTGGATCTTACTGGCTCTACTAGTTCCTCATCTCTGAAATGCTTTGAGAAAATAGATCCACTGTGTAAAGAGAGGAGTGATTTGAAATGGTATGCCTCGCCGTTAGTCTGACAGCTCTTTTCCTCTCTCTCCTCTGTGCTTAATCAGAATAGGGATGGAAGGGACCTTGGAGGTCTTCTAGTCCAACCCCCTGCTCAAACAGGAGACCCTATACCATTTTAGACAGGTGGCTGTCCAGTCTTAAAAACAGTGACGAAGCACCCACAACTTCTGAAGGCAAGCACTAGTTAATTCTGTTATTAAAACTATTCTTACTGTTAGGAAATATCTCCTTAGTTCTAGGTTTTTTTCTCTCCTTGATTAGTTTCTGCCCATTGTTTCTTGTCTTGCCTTCTGGTGCTTTGGAGTATAAGATGACCTCTCCCACACTTCTTCTTGCCAGTCCCTCAACTACTGGAATACTGAGATCATGTCACCCCTAGTCCTTCTTTTCTCCAGACTAGCCATACCCAATTGCCACAATAGTTCTTCATAAGTTTTTGTTTCCAGCTTTATCATGCTTTATTCAGGCTGCTCCTTTAATCATATTGCCGTTCTAAGAGAAAGCCCAATGCTTTCAATGTCTACATCTTGTTGCTCAACCAAAGATATCAATCTGCAAAATCTGCTTCTCTTTCTGAAAGATCAATAGCAACGTGGGGCCATGCAGTCTTAGTTTTCACCTTTTTCTTCTGCCCTACATAAAGTTACAGATACTTACAGTCATGTGTCTGCTGCACTTGCTGTTCCTCAGAATGGAAGGGTTGTTCGTCCACATATTGAGACTGCTGATCTTCATACTGGGATTGCTGATCCACATATTGGGATTTCTGGTCCTCATACTGGGATTGCTGGTCCTCATACTGGGATTGCTGATATCCAAACTGGGCATGTACTGCCGCAATAATTAGAAAAGCAAAGCATTAATGGTCATGGACTTTATGAAAAATTCACTTGCAACAATTCTGCAAAATATTATTGTCCTTCTAATGCAGGGATGTCAAACTTGTGTCATCACAGCAGCTTTACGTGATGTATTGGGCCTTTCCCCCCACTTTGTTAAACTGGGCGGGAATGGGGCTAGCCTGTGATGCATCCAGCCCATGGGCCACAAATTTGACATCCCTATTCTAGTGTTTTATTTATCCTCTGAGATGTTTTATTTTCTCTGTTCATCACCCAGCATTTAAAGCAGTTTAAAATATTCAATGAAATATAGAATTCAGGATAGAAAAACAAGTGCTTGAGGTTATAATTAGTTCACTTCGGAGTGCTTTCTGGTGGTCTCTGAGCTTGGCTGTTTTCTTGCAGACGTTTCACGATCCAAACTAGTTGACATCATTAGTACCAAGGACCCCTCATTTCACCCCTAAACTACAAATATTCTTCTTTATTGATAGTTCATTTCTCTTTCAAAAACCCAGCTATAAAATGGCTCTTTAGCTTGCTGTCTAAAAGCAAGAAAGAAAGGCATTCTAGAGAAATTCTAGAGAAATGTTCTGTGAAGTATTTCAATGTTGTGGCCTCATTATTCTGAAAGCCCTATATTTTCACTAGGCATACAAAATACAATGAAAATTCTAGCAGCAGCAGATCAATTTGATTTGATATTATACAAGTACTTATTATACAAGTTGTAATTCCTCCAATTTGAAGTCTGTCTCTCTCCCTCTCCCTCTCTGTGTCTCCCTCCCTCTCTCCTTCTCTCTCCCTCCCTCCCTCCCTCTCCCTCTCTTTCTCTTGACAAATCTGTCTGTGCAACTCTGTTGTGGATGTGCATGCATTTCCATATACACACACGCATACACATAACACACACATTTATACGTTTCTTTAAAATCAGTGGAATTTCCATCAGTCAAAACTCACTAAAATACTATTGCTTTCGGTTTTTCTAGTCTATAAATAAGTCTGGAAACAATCTACCAAGTGTCTTGTTATATCTTTTTGCCATCCCTCTTGGCATTATTGGCCCTAAATGCAACATATTTCTAAGAAAGTTGTTTCATTTTCCTTTTGCCTCATGAACCTGGTCATAGTAATTATAGTCATTGGAATAACTTGCTAATATGTAGAACATCTAAAAATGTTATCAGAGTAAGTTTTGAGAGATGAAGCCTGCTTGTCTCCTTCTAGAACTCAATTGTATCAAAACTTGAGCCACACTAGTTATAAGTTTTAATCTAGCATCCACTTTCCAGTTATGCTCAGCAAGATGCTTCTAGAAAGTATCTAAGTAGCACAGGGTTAATGGACCCCTTTCCTCTGTTTTCATCCTACAAATAGAAATTTAATTTGTGCTGCCTCTGAACATGGAAGTCTGCACTATTTTAAGGAAATGACAATTCTTTCGGCTTGTAACATCATGTTCCATAATTGTGTGCCAGGTTGTGTAATACTTTCCTTAGTCTCTCTTCAATTGCCATGTCTGTACTTCACTGAGTATTCCTTTTCTAGTACAAGAGAAAGGAGAAACATTTTCTTGAACTTCTTTCTAAAAAGCATTTAGAAATTTACTAGTATGAGTCACCTTTTATATTCCTTTCTTATAAATAGCCATTGTAGAGAATATATGTGTGTGTGTGTGTGTGTGTGTGTGAGTATATGCATACACACAAAGTGATTCATACACATATACATTGTTAGTTTTCTTTAAGTCTATTGTTAATACAAAATAACTTATAATTTAAGTTATTTTATATATTTTATTAATAGACTATAATGGATATGGATATATGTCTACAGTGTGTTGTTAATTTATATAGAATGGCATGATATTCCTGTCTTTCCTTGTTGAAATGCTACACTAGAACAATGAGGAGGAAGAGGAGAATAGTGGTGGTGGTGATGATGATGATGATGACAATAATGAAGAAAGGACGAAGAGCAGAACCTAAAACAGATTTTATCTTTTTACTGCTCTTGAGCCTTACATTTATATTCTCACTAACATATTAGTTACCATCCAAAATGAATAATATCAGACTTTGACAGATTCTAAACAACTTCATTCCATCTAAGTCCAACAAATCAAAATTCTTTGACCTTAATCAAATTCAATGTTATCGCAAAGAATCCTGAATTTTATGCTGAAACCAGAAGTATATTAAAATATGAACTTTATGGCATTTTCTTCTTTTATATCTCTTAGAAAACTTCCTAACATCTTCTTACTACAAGAACCTTGAGTAGAAACTGTGTAAATGTATTTTGCAATAATTGTACTGATCTTAATCCTACTTGTCCAGTACGCATGGACAAAAGAAGGAAATGGAATCTTAATTCAGGCAGATCTGCTAAGGTATCAGAATGGCACATTCCATGTAGCCTACATAAGCAACCCTGTATGTTGTAAGGTATTATTAATCACAATTATTTGTATAATCAAAGCCCCTGAAGTTTCAAAAGAGAGCTGCATTTATTTCAAGTATGAAATGGATGGAAGAAAAATGGATAGTATTTTCCCAAGAAGATAATGTAAAGAGATATTGCTAAAGGTAAGTATTTCTCGTCAATCCATTTTTTACATGTTGTGTTTTAAACAGTTTTGACCCTCATAATTTCCATCCTGACTTTCTCTGGGAAATGAACTTAGATGCTTAGAATAACATCCAGAACACAATCTTTTCAGAGTACCTTGTCGCTGTAGGTCATATGAAATAAAGGTCTGTTCCTTATTTCAAAAATGACTGATAAATTACAGGACAGTACGCAATCCCAGGAGGCCATAAAGTTCACATTCCTTGAATGGCTGATGATTTTAAATGCAATTAATTCAATGCTGGATTTCTAATTCATCAAAAATAGCATGAACTTTGCAATAGGCTTCAAGAGCTTAACAATCTTATTACAAGCCACCTGAACAATGCAGTGTTTTTATTTTCCTTATTAACCTTCTCAAGTTTGTAATTTTCGACATTCACATATGGTAAACTGTATTTATTCTTGCAGGAAAAAAAATGTACATGAAAGAGAGAATTAATTTTATATGCTTCATATTGCATTGGCTCCCTTAACCACTGTTTTTTCTTCTCTTTTTTAATCATTTTTATCCATCAAAACACTGCTCAATTTTTCCATAAAAGCTGGAATATTGGTGATTGATAGGCGAACTCAAGCAAGTGTTTTTCAAGTCCTGATAACATTTAATGAGGCAAAGCAAAGAAAACAGCGTAAAATGATCAAGCCTTCAGTAAGCCAGGCATTTGCTGAATGTCTTTCAAATGATAGGAAATGAACTTCTCTTAAAGTTTCCTACCTTTCTGATGGCTTAAGATGATCATTAGTATGGGTATCCATAGTGGTATTCGGGTCCCCCTGCCTATCCCCATCCTGCCTGGGGAGTTTGGCAGCATGTACCATATGACGGGCTTCTGAGAAGCCACTTGTCTTTTGATGCCTCTTATATAGCAGGCGTGTGGACTCTGGCTGAGTTCCCAGATAGTTTCACAAGCTCTCAGAGAGGTGGAGTTTCAGAATCTTTTAGCAGGTGCACAGATTGTGAGATGATGCTGTTTTACTTTATTCAGAGTTGCTATGGCCATTGGAGAAACTCAGATGAAATGGGAAGCAAAGTTCATCACCTCTTTTGCCATTTCATAAGGTTAAAGAGAAGATGCAATTCAAGGATCTTGGCCTTCATGGAGGAGTAATGGTAAAGAAGTTGGGCTAGGCCCAAGTTCAAGTCCTCCCTCAGCCAGAGGAGCTCATTAGATGACCTTGGGTCATGCACCAACTTCCTTCTCAGGAATTTTGTTAATTAGGAAAAATGGGAGGAGGGAGCACTACAAACTCGTAAATAATACGTAAAGATTGGGTGGGGTTGTTCTATCCTTAATACACAGGTTCTAAATAACCTTTTAAATAAATACTCATGTTAAAAGTAGCAGTCACTAGAACAATATCTCAAAACAAAAATAGAAAGAGACTAACGATTAACGCTGTTCCTTAAAAACTTCCAGACAACCCAAATGCTAAATTAACCGAAATGTAGATGTTTTAATTATTGAGTTAATTTCTGTAAAAAAGATTTTTGTGCAAGGGTGAAAACAATATATGAAAAGGTATAATTGAATTTTCAATGATGGGAAGAATCAAGGAAACTATGGCATAACCACAACGACCCTGCATAATGTCAAAAAAACAAATAATAAGCAAGTAAGTAAATAAACAGTGAAATAAATAAATAAAGATCTTACTTCAGTATGCTAGGGAACATTTTCCCATAGGGAAGCAACAGCTTCTCAAGCCGGCAACTTGGATTAATTTTAGACTAATTAACCTTGGCAGAGTAACAGTTACAAGGGACATTGGAGGTTTTCTAGTCTAACCCCTTGCTAAGGCAGGAAACCCTGCACCATTTCAGACAAATGGTTGTCCAATCTCTTCTTTAAAACCTCCAGTGTTGGAGCACCCACAACTTCTGGAGGGAAGTCATTTTACTGATTGTTCTAAGGGTCAGGAAATTTCTTCTTAGTTGTAGATAGCTTCTTTCCTTGATTAGTTTCCACCCATTTGCTTCTTATCCTGCCTTCAAGTGCTTTGGAGAATTAGTTTACCGCCCCTCTTCTTTGTGTCAGCACCTTAGATGTTGGAACACATGATAATATCACCCCTAGTCCTTTTCTTCATTAAACTAGAGACATGCAATTCCTGTAACCATTCTTCATATGTTTTAGCCTCTGGTTCCTTATTGCTCTTATCTGTATAGATCAATACAATAATTCAATAATAGTTTCTTCCCAGACATATTACAATATAGTACCTGTATTCAAATCAGGGGCTGGTAGTTTGTTTAATTAACAGGGAACACTACAGGATCTCAGATGATGGCACAGATATTGAAAAATGTCCACTTTCCAATATCTTACAAAGTTGCATGTGAAGCCATGAAAATCTTGTAAGATTTGAGATCTCATGAGATTTTGCTCATTTAAAAATCATGATGAAACAAATTTAACGTCAAGAACCTTTGGGTGCTATTTAAGTTTTAATTTGATATTGATTGTGCTCATTAGGAAAGAAAGACAGAAAGACAAAAAAGAAAGAAAAGTAAGAGGAAACCCTGCCTATAGATATAGATATATAATTATATGCATTTATCCCAGTCAGGTGTCACAAACACTCGCAGGGGGTGAAGTTTGTCTAGATGGCTAAGTCCTCCAGTTTCATGGTGCCTAAACAGGGTTCCAATATAATATGCAGAAATGTAAAGGTTTTTACTCTAGGCTTTGCATAAAGAGCTATTGCTCTTTTCCTCATATTACTTGGTTAAATTAGTTCTGCACTTTTGCAACAACTCATCTTAAAAAGATGAATTTTATTAACAATACTACTAGTCCATGCTGGGCATTGTGGTTTGTACATTAATTTCCATGTGGTCATTCTTTGCTACATTGCATCTCTTCCTGCAGAAGAGGATTCAAATTTTCCAGATCAAGCCCTGTTCCATGATTCTAGGACCAGGGGTGGGATTCTACCAGTTCACACCTATTCACTAGAACCGGTTGTTAACATTCTAAGCAGTTCGGAGAACCAGTTGTTAGAAGAAATCACTGGCCTAATCCTGTAAGGAAGGCAGGAAGGAAACATTCTGGTGTTGCTTACAGAAACTGCCTCTCCGTTAATCCTTATTATATTCTTGGCAGGACTAGACTTCCTGTCTCAGGAATGTCTCTGGAGTTGTTTTCCACTCCTTTGCTGGTACTTTGCTTGTGTGGAGTGACCATTCAAAGTTACAATGGCACTGAAAAAAGTGATTTATGACCATTTTTCACACTTGTGACTGTTGTAGCATCCCCACAGTCATGGGAGGCCAGGCGAGGAGATACGTGCCTCAATGTGAGTGAAATTGAGTTGGCCATGCCTAGCCGATAACATGACCACCAAGCCACGTCCACCCAGTCACATGATCACCAAGCCACACCCACCAACTAAACCATGTCCACAGAACCGGTTGTTAAAATTTTTGAATCCCACCCTTGTCTAGGAGGTCTTTAAATCTGTTGGCCAAGTGTGGCTGATGCCAGAAAAGCTGAGCTGGTTCAGGTCTAGTAAGTATTGGGATAGAAAATCCACAGGGAATCCCAGGGCTTTAATGTAGATTAGGAAGTTTAAAAAAATCTGAAGGAAATGGTAGACCAACTTTGTATTAGTGTAAAGTAAATTCTGCACACATTTCCATGAAGTCCCCCCCAAAAGAGCTCACCTCAAAGAGAATTTTCAACCCATGGATTTGTTTGAACTAGAAAAGTGTAATGAGAATTATACCACACCCATCTTTCTCTTTTCAAAGTAACAGAGAAAGTAATGTTTCTCGCACACAACAATTGATAGTATAAAAAGTATGTACTGTAGGTATAATTACTCTCAAAGTTGAGGAAACCTTTTAGTTGGCTTAAAACTAACCAAGGAAAAGAATGCTGTTCAAACAAATGTGAACTCGATAACAAATGACTTTGTAAATTATATTGTTAAGAATGCTTCCACTTACTGGAAAGGGGAAGCACAACTATAGCACAGTTGGGAGACTTGTTATTCTAAACAAAATTAAAAAAAATCTGGTTCAATATTTACATATTAGCCAGGTTACTTTTTTTCAATCAGTCACTCATCCTAAAATAAGCAAAACTAAGTAGTTATCTGCCAGTTCTAGGCACACCTACAGGGTTGGGTTACTCTTATAACCCATATGTTCATTGAAACTTGCTCTTGCTCATAATCAAATAGTAAAACTTTCCTGGACTGAAACCTTTTTTATTATTTTATTGGCTACTAATTTGGATAAAATGATTTGAAAATTGCCTTCACTCTACATAAAACAACAGGGAAAGCAACCTCCATCTTTAAATCCAACTATATTTCACAGTTTAACTTCGTATAGTCCTTGGCCTAATTTGAAAATAAATATTGAGAGAGAGAAGTTATGGACACTTCTACCTACTTGTAGCCTCATCCAACTATTGCACATTATGGCCATTGCAGTTTCCTTAAGGAATGCAGCCCTTGTGGGAGACAAGTTTGCTTATTTTTGATTTAGACAAAGTAAAGGTAAAAACCAAGTAATTTTTCCCTCTGACATGTCAGCCATCTTACTATTATTATTGCTATGAACAATAGCTGCTATGCTATGAACAAAAGTTGAACAAGTTGGAGGTAATGGGCAAACCTGCTGATCAGGTAGAACAAGGTGCATCATTTGATAAATCAACTTCAGGTAATATATTGTTAAGAGAACTATGTAGTTAACCAAGTGCTCTCTTTTTCTGAGACCATATGTGTGGAATGTACTAAAAAAAAAACAATTAAAGAAGAGGCATACCTTTCTACTTCCAATCCCAGCTGTGAAGGATAGGACCAATGGACTTTGGTGATCTTTTTCATTCCTCTAGTCCCGTCGATTTCTTCAAGCCCTGAGGCTCTTAGGAGCTGAAAGTTACCCTGGATGGGTGATAAAGGCAGAGGGGATGTTTCAGTGGTTGTGAGGTGAGTAGTCTCCTCAACTGACCCGAAGAAAATCCCCCCATCCGAACTAAAAAGAGAACTGCCAACGTGGCTGAATCAAAGCCAGGAAGGCAGCTGAGACAGAAGTGAAAAAGAAAGGAAAGATCTTGTAACAGTGTGCTTAGTCTTGGTAAGAATCACTCCAATTTCTGCAAACTGATTCGACGCTTGAGGCTGAAAAAAATGAAGCTGCTTGACTGTCTAAATAAAACTTGACTGAAAATGCTTTTTGCTGTCTTTTAAGCAAATAAAAAAGTGAAAATACCATGGAAAGCTGTATGGGGCTTCCTTCTTTCAAAATTAGGTAAATAGCTTTCACATTAATATATGACGAAGGTCAACCTTTCATTCCTGGCTAGCTTCTGTAGGGATGAGATGTCATGAGAAAGAGAAGCAGGGTCATCTTTCATGCCAATATCTGCTAGCTTAATACTGACATTTCACCCCAGTATAGTCTGTTTTTCCCCCTGCTATGATCTGCGACAAGAAAAGAAACCTAGAGTACAAGGCCATTTTTTTTCCTACCAGTTTTTCTCCCCAACTAATACTTTGACCCAGGTGGATATGGAAGTACAAAATGTATTTATTTATCAAATGTATGCACCACTGATCTCAGTATCTGAGTGACTCTAGATCAGGGGTGTCAAAATCAAGGACTGCGGGCCAGATCCAGCCCAGGGGGTGCTTAAATCTGCTCCATAGGGCCAACCTGGAAACAGTGAAGGACCAGCCTGCAGTGCCTCTACCAATGAAAATGGAGCTTGGGAGGGCAGCACAACACACTCTCAAGCTCCAGTTTCACTGGCAGAGGGCTGCAGGAGGCGATCACAGCCAAAACAGTGC